GGTTGCAGATGAGATCGCTACACTATCGACGCCTTCGGGGCAACCTAATCCTTATATATAGTCTAATTTTGGGCAAGATTGGGTCTGATCTAACTAGACTGTTCCATACGGCCCAGCTACCATCTCTATGTGGTCACCTTCTGAAGTTACATAAGCTCCGAGCCGCTCGCATTAGGGCCGATTTTCTTTTGTCATGCAAGGTCAACTCATGGAACACACAACCCAGCGAACTAGTATTAGCGCCAACGGTGAATAAGTTTGGGCATCGATTCGACGCACTTGGGTTCACAACTTCTACTACCAGTTCCTTGACTGCTCACGTTTTCTTACCAGTGTTCTTATATACACATTTTCAATTTCTTTATAATTATAATTATTTTATTTTTGTTGTTTCCGGTCGCTTAGCCGTTATTTTCATTCCTCAGACTGGTATAGCGGGGACTGCTAGTTCAAGCTGTGGTTACGTGCTGTGATTCACGCATATTGATTGGGCTCTCATCGGTTTCAAATCGATCCCACAAACTCTATGCGGGTGCAGCGACGCATTAAAAATGGAACACCCATAGGGATTTCTTACCATTCTAGTCTAAATTGAACTAAGACTTGAAAGTAACGATGGTCCTTTGAGGAAAAATGAAGCTCTCAATTTTCCAAAGAGCACAAAACATTTACTTGACCCCAGTTGGAAGATAGATCTGCTACCTCTACTAACCATAGTGAAATCACTATAATTCTGGGCTCATTCTACCTAGCGGCAAAACAATTGGGTTCGACCCTATCTACATTTCACACTTAAACTATAATTAAATCTAAGCTATCGCATTCAAACTCGCATTCTTCGGATTATCGCTCCCGCTGTCAGTCTAGTACTGAGTTTACTACGGAATCTTTAAATCGCGTACAGTTTCCTGGTATTAAGCTGGCGCTGTTCTATGCCACCTCGCCAATGAGTCATATCTCCAAGAAGATTCTTCAGTAGTTTTCTGAATTCGTAAATAATATCTACCCCGAAGTTACAATCTCTGGCGATTCTGAATAGATATGCATGATCTACCGCGCCACTGGGAAACACATCGATACGCACCGTTTATCCTTTCCCAGAGCCAGTTAGCAACCCCCGAAGTGCAATGACCCGACGACTGTGATTAGCAGCAATTCGTTTAAACCGCGAATGGACGGTACCCACTTGCACACAACTTACATTTATCCAGCAAATTCTCCACCCTTGATATATAAAACGTTGCGTGCCCTACCACTGTATCGTCGCATATATGTACTGGTTTTGCCCTGTCATTCTGTTACGAACTTGGACGCAATTTTCACCCATTGGACTATATTCCGTACATCCTGATACGTATGACCGGAAGAAAGCAAGTTGGGAAGACAAGCTTCCGTTACGTCCTTTTCTTTTATGTCCTTTCATACGTCATTTTTGACCGGTAATCAGATCACTGTTCAACCTATGATCGAAATACTGTACCTATTTGCATCTACATAATCACACCGCCGTGGGCTGGTTTCGCTTAGTTAAAAATAATGCTTATTTATTGTTGCATTAAAATTGTGATATCAGTCTGTCCACATTGGTTTCTTGGGTACAGACCGGATGAATGTACTCTCTGGTCACCACTCCAGGTTAACATCTGCAGCAGTCTGGAGATTGCACAGGTTTGCCTGCGTAAAATTCTAAAATTACTATCTCAATGCAAACTTAGGCTACCGGTGCGGATCGTTAAACTGGATATTGCGTTCGATTGATCGAGTGGAGAACCGCCTTTGCTTGGTGATCATTTCGATTGCAACGCGCGATGGCGCTGAGTTATGTCATTTTTTCGTTCACGCTAGCTACCATTGCCAACGGTGTCGTCATTTTATACCTAGGCAAGCAGGGAATGTTTTGCTGCGCAACTACATGTTTCCCTGCAGCTCGATCTGCCCTCTGGAATGATTAACTGGGCTCCCGCTAAACATATGAGAAATGAAACGGCCATCGGATTCCTTTTTAATCGTAAGTTTGATTGCGTGCTGGCTTATGTTCATCATTCCTAGTATTCTGGTCAGTTGCGAATCAGTGTTAGTGCCGAATAACGTATCGCCCATATAGCGGTTTTACAACTGTGCATGTTGTATATAAGGACATAATATGGTATTTGCCGAATGGTCCGTTAAGCTATCCCCTAGAATTGGCACCACCGGAATGCCTGTCTACGTCAACAAATAGCCGGTACAGGGTTCTATTAAATCGAAATTGAATATATATTTTGTATAAACGGAGCAACGATTTGAGTTGGGGAGCTGGAAACACCACTTTGTCAGCAAGTCTTTCTATTACGTCTAACGTTTCTTCCATGGGGACGTTCGTGATTAATGTGCATAAAGCGAAGGAGACCATATACTTTCCATCTACCTTTAAATTCAGTATTCTATCAACAAACAGAAACGTATCTTTGAGGCTGTAGCCTGGTAGTTCCCTCCGGGTAGGCTAGATTGGATAAGCAAACAATTTGCACAACCTTGTTTTGGTGCGCCTACTATTGAAACGATCGGTCGTCGGGGTCTGCCCACCATGTGAGTTTCTGCAAGCCATACATATGAAGTAGTCGACATCCACGAGCGTGTAGCTGTGACAAAGCTCTTACGTCGATCAATACCGCCCTCATTAATTCTTTAACACACAGACTGTTGACTTCTCTACCTGTTCGGATTTTATGGCGGCCCGTCACATCACGAACCAGTTACCTGCAAAGTAGATGGCTTTGTACGCAAGTTGGTCACTTCACAACTTGTATGTGAATAGCTGATGAGAATACTCGAAATAACTGAATTCAGTTTATTCTGCTGAACTACTGTTCCTTTTTGCTTTGTTTAAAGTTTTTGTTTGTATTGTCAGTGTTAGAATGCACACGCCATCTTTCTTGAAGTATACTGTCGGCTGATTGCGACGAACAAAAATACCCACCAAAATCCTTCCATTCACAAGTAATACTGTTACTAGCTTGCCTACCTAATCGCATGACTCCGAAACTCAGGGACCTGTAGATATATATTGCTACTAAGCAGCGTAATACACTGGTCGGTACTCCAAAGCTGGGCCCCCTGATCGGTGCACTCAGGATCCTGGGTGTGGTCGCACAAGTGTTCACGGCAGACAACTGTTACATTCACATTTAGCAACTATTCTCCATATTACATTTAGAGCGCCTGGTGTGTCTTGACTGCGAAGGAATGTTCACCACACCGTTAAAGCTAGTTGCGTACTGGGTTTAAGTAATTTTTACATACAGTTAGGCTGTTTTGCTTTAGCATGGACTATTTTAAACCTACCTGGAGTTAGTTAGGTCAAAGATATTTACATGGAATCAACTATGTTTTATGCCCTTCTATTCAGTTTTTACTTTACCTATATTATATGTTCAAGTAGAGGGCGGTAACTTGCATGTTTGCAAATGTTTGCTCACGAATTTTACAACTGGCTAGCCGAGCAATCTTCACGTGGTGCCAGCTAGTTGGTTCGGGTTAATCCCGGTCCAGCTAATAGTTTGGCGTCAGTGTTCCAGGACGTGGTGGGTTTTCGCCTGGCAAAGGTTCTCCCTGTAAAATGCCACACATGTCTGCTTAACCACACTGTGACGTGGCGGATATGACCCGCCACTAAATAAAGTCACTGGCTTGCCACACATGAGGAGTTTACACGTTTCGTGAACGTCAACCACTTCAAATATTTCATCTGACCCCTTCATATATTGGCCCATTCACCGAACAAACTCACAAATCCACAGTAATACTAACAAATTCACACATCCTGGTTAAGTGTACATGCACCCACATACATACTGCACATCCATACACACATATCCAGTATGTACTGGTTAAATTGTAACATTTCTGAACCATTACTGATGTTATGCGTTTGTATCACCGTGATTGCGCCTTTGAAGGCGCGTCTCAGACCGTCGAGAATAAATCGCTTGGTTGGCGGCATCCGGTTTCGGATTTGCCAGTCACTGTGGCCAGCCACAGGACGCCTGCGCCTACAGAGGGACCATGGGTGGCTTGCGCTGCACCACCCACAGCTCCAACCACACACCCCATATCCAGTGTAAACTCGAAGGAATAAGACCGGGAGGCATGCGGATGGGAACCACGTTTCATCAACGGAGCCGGCCCACACTCCTTCACAGGCAAACACAAGCACACTGTACTTGGGAATCAAGCGCACACAAGGCGGTGGCTGGACCGTAGTCCGCTCCACACTGACTGCATGGAACCACTCTTTGATCCTAACACGGCCACAAGGACCGTGCACCCTGTCCCCTCCAGCAACGACCAGCTGTCTGCTGGAGCCAGTATGGACGAGGTAGTGGGTAATAGACAGGTAGGCACCTTGTCAACATGCACATCAAGCGCAGCCACACCGGGGATATCAAACAACAGCAAAACGCTTGAGAGAGAGAGAAAGAAAAAGAGAAAAACTCGATTATTGCATAAGGAAACGGTGATATAAACCTTAATTAAATAGCATTTGTGATAAGTTGTTTACAAACAAATCCTAGCTAAGTGCACGAGGTCAGGAAGTATAGTTCACGGAATGCCACGAACACAAAAATGTTATGGAAATCGAATACAATTGGCTGAAGCGATGTGTGCAAGTTAATGGAATAGAGTACAGGGAGATATTTATATGAGAAAGAAAAGCATTAAGGTAAAAACTGTAAACCCACCACCTGAAATAAAGAGACTTAGCATGCAAGCACGCGGTTAGTAAATTGAATTCAGCTGGCCTACAAACGCTGCGCCGGCTCGTCGTAATTCTCTGCAGGACCCGTCGTCGCTTCTGTAGTGGCCCGAAATGGCACAGCTCATGGCCCACCAGACATAAATCGCTTACTTACTTACTTACATATATCTACCTGACCTTTTGCTACGGTACATGTGCATTTGCTTGATTGGTCCAACGTGACATTTGGTACACCATTTCCTCTCTCTTTCCCCTTTATAAGAGTTTTGAAATGATTATCGCGTACTTCTTGGGGATCCCGCACTGGGCAGACGATCAAACCAGGAGCCAACCGCACACAACACCTTCACACAAGTCCAGCGTGGATAACTGGACGACAAGCCCTCGCAATCCGGAGAAGCAAACCAAGGCTGAAAAATCCAAAGCGCCATTAACTCGAAACTTTTTCTCACCTTTGCAATGCTTCAGCCTGTTCGGCATAATGCTACCTCATCTTCGACCAACTTCAACGATTAATGGCGGACTGTGATAGCCATCCGGTCAAACAACGGAAATTTCCGAATGCCACTCGACTGCGAATAGCCAATCGAAAAATCGGTCAGTAAGATGTACCGCCAGTTACACTAGCATTCAAACAGATCGACGGCAGGGTTCCAAGACGTGGTGGATTTTCGACTTGCAAGCGTTCTTCCTATATAAACCACAGATTTCCGTCTAAAAACACTGTACCGTGGCGGATGTGACTCACCGATGATTAAATGCACTGCCCAAGACTTCACACTGGGAAGTGGATAAGCGCAGCATGTTATAATTATTGATACCTACACTACAAGCTACTTTCTTATCTGCACCTAGTGTCACCACTTCATTGTATACGTTAGTATTGTTTGTCTTTACACTACGCACATATGAACACAGGTTATCGTCGCATCAAACGGTTGTCTCGCACCAATACTTTCCTTTTTCTGCAACACCTGCACCTTTTGAACATCTGCCAATGGCGTGTAATGCAGCTTGCCTGTTGCGAATAGTTGCCTGTAAAATGTTGACCACGCTACATATTTATTAAAAGCTTTTGGCATGCATGTGTCACCAAGAACCAGATATTTTAACCTCTTTCGCTTTCCCGCTCGGCAGGACCTTGACTGCGGAACCTACGTCTTACGCTTCGCTTGCTTCTCGGTTGTTCGGTCACTTTCTACGGTCGGCTTGTCAGTGAGCATTCAAGATGTTATTTGTCGACATTAGTTCCAAATGGGTGGTTGGGGTTTTACTTCCATCCAGCTACGTTCGCTTGTTTTCCATTGCAAGTCAGTAGGGCCATTGCGACTTACCCTGCGTGTCAGTTATGGAAGAACCTGGAACCTCCGTCCCTGACGAATATTATAGTTTCGGTGACTGAAATGCGGAGACTGCCGTTACTCGAACCAGTGCTTTCTCCGTGCGGTTAAATGCAGTTGTGGGGTAATGCAAAACGATTTTCATTGCTGATGTCTCTAGGCCTACTGCCTACTCGTTGTAAAAATGAAATGTGTAAATCGTGCATATAAACTGCAAATCATGTCGACGATAGTTTTCATGCGACTTCACTTAAAACATTTTTCTCTTTGGCAATTATTCGGAAGACGTCCAAACAAAACTTTGGATTTTATGTCGACTTTAATTATTATATACCGATATATATCCATTTGAATATTGTAGCATAAAATTCGCTTCTCAATAATGGTTAGAAGTTGGAAAATTTGCGTGTAAAGTCTATATCACTTGTTAGTGCGTACGGTTACCTTCTGCTGCATGACCAAAAATGTGCGGACTATTCGGTGCATTTGTCAAGTGTGCTGCAATACCAGACTTCCTAAGTGCGTTGCAGCTAGGTAGCGATAAGATCAGCGAATTGTTGCGTCACGTATACGATTTTTTGGCCTATAACATTTGCAGTCGTCATCAAGTCCACTTTAATTACAGTGCAGTGTGACACCATCCCCTTTACTGCGTAGCTACACATTGAGGGTAAGTCGCATTAGCAAACAATGTTACTTCATTTTAGTCGCTGCAATTTCTTATTCCGTAGTTGTTTGTTACTAATGGACTTATTACCAATTTGTTTATTACGCGCAAGGGCGTATCCACATTCGGTACATTCCCCCCTGGCTAACCCTATTTTTATATCATTTTGTTCATATTGTATATATCAAATTAGTATAAGCAAAAATGTTTATTCTCAATTTGACACGACACATAAAAGCTGACATGATCAGCTGTTTACAATCAAATATAGGTCTATAATAATTTTACCGGTGGCGTGTCCAAATAAAGCGATTAAGAAATTTCACGAGACTTCAAGATGTAATGACTTGTGCTTGTGAGCGTGATCCAGGTTTACCAGTTTTGCCGTGCTGTATAAGCAAAGATGTTTCTCGCTTTTAGAAATGCAGCGAAATGGGTCATTTTTCACGAATATGTGAAAGATTTAAATGCGTTTTCATTTCCAGGTACAGCCACCGCGATTACTTATTTTGTGTTGCTCACAAACCGATTGTTGTCGCGGTTATTTGCAGTCACTTGTCACCAGTGGTGTATCAACCCCTCTGTACCGCCCAGGGCGGTGGAGCTATTTTCTCTCTGACTGAGGACAGAATAGGCGCGTGAAGGCAACACAATCGAATAAGGGTAAAGAGCACATTAGTTTTCGCCGAACCGGATGATTGCTTTTGGAAATGAAGTAAATGTGGTAAAAGGGACCACAATGGGACAAGTAATATGATCGCCAAGAAGAACAGGTGCGCAGGTGTGACACATGGCGCAAAGGTGTTGTTGCTCATAGAGAGAAACGTTACAATATTCAACGCAAAGCTAGTGTGGGAAATTCGCCCCTTATGTTTAGTATCGAAAAATAAATGGTAATAAAAACGTCAAACCTGTCTCATGCCGCCTGGGGCGGACCACCCCTGCTTCTCTATGCTACTCCCTTATCTTTCGTGCTTTTTCCAACGGTCTGTTAATGAACATTGTTTATCGCAAATACGGATGGAGCATCTCAGCCCTGTTGACTGAATCAGTGACTTTCCGGACAAGCTAGCTGGATCAGGCGTAAATTGTGTAGTCCAAATCCTACAGATGAATATGTTGGATCCGGTGGAGCGCTTGTTGGTGGCATCAGAGGCACGTTTGCTCAATAACCGGTTATGGGCATAAGCTGGAACGTCGCACCAGTATCGTTTGAAGTTACTCGGCTTACGAGCCTACTGTCCCGAGTTGTGGGTCAACAAATTGGGGATTGTGGTGCAGTCCCGAAATAAGATACTGCTTGTAGCGACCGTTATTAAGACTGTGTGCTGGCGCACAGCGCAAGGACCAGATAGGCAACAAGGAACTTTAAGCCTAAGAATGAAGGAAAAGCAAGAGCGAGCCCGAGCAAAACTGCCAAGTATCTTGACCGAGATAGGTTAAATATTCGAAAATTCTGTACTGTGAAAGTGCTAGTCAAAAACAGCTTAAGTATGGAGCAAATGTCTTATAACTGAATTTTATCTTTTGTATTGACGTCCAATACCTGTTAAGTGCTAGATGACAATGCATGAGGTACGAAGGAAAGTAGTGGATTGCCCATGAAGTATTGGACGATGGCAGGGTACTAGCAGCGTTTCTCAATCGGTGCCAGAAAGAATTTGATGCTACGACAGGCGGATAAAACCTCAGCATGTTGGCTACCCGCTCAGGCAAAAAGAATAAAAGCGTTTCATGGAAAGTAGGCAAGAGGGATAATGAAGAACTCCAGAATGAATCGAGTTAAGAAAACGTGAGCAAAATGGATGATGAATTAAGTATAGCTAAGGACCAGCTGCAGCTGGAATAAGGTTATGGCAGCCTTAATAATGAAAAATCAGCAGAGGTACAGGACTTTTCTATACAGCAAGTTGTTCATGCCTCCCAAAAAGTAATTAGTAAATGAGCATTGAGACATATGAGGCTAAGGTGCAGTGACACGCTGAGTAACTATGTAACTTGACCCAATGAGTCGATTTCAGTTCATTATTTTACCCTTAAATATGATTGTAATGGTCTGAAGAGAATCATCGAAAACAATTGTTCACCTATGGTCTCGTGTTCTTTTGACTCTAAATGGGAATTTTCAAGTTGCTTAAACTATCCAAGCCTCCCTCAGTGGTGAAGGAGCTCAATCAGTTCCTGAGGTTTTCCACAAAGCTTGCTGAAGCCAAAACCAGTGTTCAATATTTCGATGAGTGTGTTGAGAGTAACGAGTATCCCGCTAGATTTTGGAAGCAGCTAAGTCGTAATGGGATTTATCTTGATAACAAGACGCTTAGACGGCACGCGCTTAACTAACGTGATACGGTACAGTCCAAGATAGCGGAATTCCAAAGGAATTTAGCACAACGCCATGCAGCAACGGAGGAGTTGGTCGCAGAGGAAAAGCAGATGTTCTTGGATTATGTCCAGTCTATTACCAGTAATCGTGTACATCGGAGGCGTTCGGCTTTAGAAAAAACGCTAAGTCAGTTAAAACCGCAAGCTGTGTTTCCGAACAAACCTGAAAGGTACGTACACAACTTTTCTAGCGTGAAACTGGATGCAACTTAATTTAAGTTCTATCGCTCGGTTTAAAATTTTGTACACCTAGACGTAGAGACAACCAACTTCATTCCAGATCGAGATGTTCTCTCCTGCGTCTCCCTGTCCAGTCAGTGGTCTCGAATGCTATTCTGTCTACCGCTCTGCAGGATTGTGGAGGCAAATAATTTACTGAGGATGCAGGTTCCAATGAAGTGCTGATAAATAGTGACCATGCGCTTGTTATCTTTAGCCTAATATTTCTAAGTAAGCTGGAGCGACGTTTCAACCAGCTATATAATTGGACTTCTGTCATTTTTTGGAGTGTAGCACTACGTTAACTATTTTTACACCATAGCGTTTATAGTTTTAAGTAAAGGAATTTTTGTTAGAAATTTAGCGCTGACGACGTCCAGAGGGAGCGCTTGTCAGATGTTGCGCCACTGCTCACGGTCATGTATTTGCACTTCGTAAGCAATGGAACCAAGTAGTTCAGAAACACAACGTACCAATACGGTGTTCTTGCTTTCTTTCATAGAAGACCTACCATGGTTTTAATTTTCCTTTGACCGCCTTTTGCAATAAATAGCTGAGTATGCGTACCCCGCTGGATGAGATGCGAAGATAAACTGCTGACAGTAAGACTATCTCTGTCTCCTCAGTTGTGTTCAAGTTTACGCGAAAAAAGCTAGGTTTGCTGTAGTTCACTAAAGTTAAGTGACGCGCCACGCGCCTTAGCGTAGTGGGCTCAAGCCGAATATATATTGCATCGCAACTGGAATTCTACTGAGTACGAGTACCTACCATCTTGTTCATTATTGTGACAAATCTGGACCCAGGAACATTAGTGCACACGACCGTTAACGCACTGTGGTTCGGTTTAGCGATTCACGATTTGAGCCTTGTGGCTGGTAACTTGGATTGTTTATTGGGCACTAAAGAATGTTGTGAAAACAGTGTCGCATCGCTCGTGTTTGGTCAAGAAAATTGACATACGGTTGTCTCTTTGGGCTTTTTTACCGAGGTGACCTATGCGTGTGTTACCCGGCTCAGGAGTGCCGGTGTTGTGCGCAAATCACGAAATGTGGCATTTAGGGATAAGTTAATAGGTGTCACGGTGGACGTGGCTTACCCAAGTAAAGGTTTAGTACTTGTCGGAGAGGTGGCGTAGAGACCGTTGGACGGTTAGCAAGACTGACTTTAGCCTTCTACTTAGTGACAGAGATCTGAGGGGTTTGCCGTAGAACAGGATAAACAAATAAATATATCTTTATGCTCGGCAGTGCAAGGCACGTCTGCTGCGGCCTGGTAGTGATAACCCAAACAGGTACATGTACAAATATGTCGCAAGTTAAGCAGTAAGATACTGGTTCTAGGTGTGCTGAGTTTCTTTACTTTAAGTGTTTTGCTTTGCTTTATTGCCTTAATTCCTAATGTATTACCACCTTTTTAGGTTTTCCAGAAAATCTTCTGTTTAATTACACACTTTGATTGAGCAAAAGCTGGATATCTTTAGTTCTATT